TATATATATATTATTTTATCTTATAGATCAAACTCCGCCCATAGATGGTGTAACTTTGCTTAGGGGAGTTTGATGGTCTTAGGACTACATGAACAGATAATATTTACTACTTATATTTTGGGGTGAGTATCCTTTGGTAAGCACCACATTATTGAAAAAATTATACCGCCTCCATCTCATATCACTAAAGAATTGTTCTAAGTTACTTATCAATTTACAAAGTTAAAGTTATGATTAATTAATTTTTTCTGATTTATTTTTAGAATTAACTTTCAAAAAAATTTCTTCATCATTAATTGTGATATTGATGGATAGAGCATATAATTAGTAAAACCAACATTTTTTATGTATGATTTTTTTTAAACGCGTAAAGGAAAAAGTAAACCAATAATATTAGACCTAAGAGAGAGTACTTAGTGTAATCTGAAATTTATTTGAAGGTGTCAAATAAGCGGATTATGTTGAATTTAAGTGGACTAAAATAGATTGAGTTAATAATGAGTGGATTATTGATCCGTCCAAAAATTATTTAAGTTGAAATGAGTTGAACTGAAATAGAGTAAAACACACAATTCTAATCAATTTTAATTCTTTTATTTATTCTTGTTGCCTTATTTGTTCTTTTTGTATTTTTGTAATATCTAATAAAATTATATTTTTCTTTATTATGAAAATATACAACATAACAAATAAAAATAATAAATTTTCTGATAAGATTTCTCATGAATATTAATTTGAGCTACATATTAATCCAAGTTTTGATGGGATGAAATCGAACAAAAATGACCTCCGTTAATAGTTTGATCCAAAAATATTCTTATGTCTATATTTTTTATCCCAAAAAACCTCATGTCATTAATACTTTGGTCCAAAAATGTCCTTATTATTACTTTTGGGCAGAAAATGTCCCTTTTCCTAAAAACAATATTGTTTACATATTGTTTATTTTTCTTTTTTCTTTTTAATAAAATATTGATTTTGAAGAAGCATTTTTGTTAAAAAAGTAATCCCTTTATAACTAATATACAAATGAAAAGTAATATTTTTTATTTTTAATCTCTTTTTATCAATTAAATAGAATTTTCTCATATATTTATTTAAACTGATAATATAGGTCGTATGTATAAGATCATAGTAAACCGCATCATCAATTTCTATTTAGATAATAATTATTTTTTTAATAAAATAGAAAATATTCTTATTTTTTAAATCTTTTTTAATTGAAATATGATGAATATTTGGTAAAAAGGGATCAACAATAACGTAACTTCATTGATGATATTTTAAAAATATTTTGTGAAATGAATCGATGAAACATTTTTTCTGTTTTATGGCGTTATAACTGTTACTCCTATATCTTAACTTTAATCAATAATCATATAAGCAAATATTTATCCTTCGTAAATATCTAGAGATAAAAATAGTTTTTATTCTATCAGAAAAACTAATTCTATTCTTAAATTATTATTTTTTATCCTCCACTTATTGATATCCTTAATTTATTCTTAAATACATAAATAAATTACCTTCTAATCATACATAAATAACTATGTCCATTTTTATTTGTCATGTTGTGCTTTTCGAAAGTCAATTTGACTAATTTTCAAAGTTAAATTAGATTACATTAATTTCATATTCTAAACAAAAAATTTAGATATACAAAAATTATACGAAAAGTACTATAAATTGCAATATTTTACATATCAATATGATGAAAAAATACATCATAAAATGTTAGTAAATTTTTTTATACTTTAACTCTATAAAAGGAAATTATGACAAGTAATAATGGATAGAGGTAATAGTATAAAACTAGATCTTGGGTGGTGCAACTTTACTTGCACGGAGTGTGCACTGCTGGCATGGAAAATGGTGCACTGCATATAAGACATTATATTTTGGGATGGGTACCTTTTGCTGATTATAAAATTGGAAAAGGATTAAAAATATTTTAAAACTATATTGAAAGAGTTAAATATACTCCATCCGTCTTATTTTATGTGAGGTAGTTTGACTTGGTACGGAGTTTAGGAAAGAAAAGAAGGTTTTTAAAATTTGTGGTCCAAAATGAATGATAGAAATTTGTGTGGTTGTAAATTATTTCATTAAGGGTAAAATAAATATTTTATAGTTAAATTGTTACTTAATATAAAAATATGTCATTCTTTTTGGGACTGACTAAAAAAAAAGTAAGTCACATAAATTGAGACAGAGAGAGTATCATTTATTCATCTATTTGATTAAAAATATCCTTCAATATACTTTTTTGATCTATTTTACACTTAAAATTAATAGATTTTGTAAATATAATTATTTATTACATGACATTTTTTTATTGGATATTTTAGGATGAACTACTTTATTAGACATACATCATTACCATATATACTAATTTTACCTCTACTTTCAAATAATTACATATATTACCACTTTTAATATTTTACACCATATATTATTAAAGATATAATCAAATATCCACATTCCTTAAAATTAGGATTGATTAATTCTATTTACATTTAAACTCCAAAAAAATAACATGTTAATTAAAAACAAATATCTTTCTCTCATGGAATATGAGTTGGGTAAAAATCTAACTCTTCCTCTTTCTCCTCCCTTGATCAGTAGTCAGTAAGCAGAAACACTTCATTAAAATGGATGTTCTACAGCTTGTCAACACACATGTCAAACTCTTAGCCTTTGATTTTCTCACTCTCAAACCAATCCCCCATGTACCCATCATTTTTCTCGCAAGGGGAGATGCCTCTCGCACGCAGAGACAATGGATATCGACTATAGTTGTAAGCAGAGATTTCAAGCCAATAGATTTATCAAATTCGACATTGACGATGGTGCCGGTTACATACTCAACTAGGAAACTTCGTGTCACTTCTCCTGTTGAATCTAGGCGCTATCAGTGTATCTTATTAAATGTGTATGTATCTAACAAATATATTGGAGATTTACGCAATATTGGAGATTTATGCATGTATTTGATACAGTATCCGAGTGTTGTCATATGTATATGTCATTTTTCATGTATCTTAATATAATCTCATATATGTATATATTTGTTATGTTATTACAATGTATTATCTGACTATTTTCGTATTTATTCGAGATACATGTTTTTGGATATAAGGTATGAAATTAATACTTAATACATCAAATTATATATTTATAAAAGATATATGAAATAATATTAGATGATATAAATAGATGCATGAAATTAATATTAGATACAGATAACAAATACATGAAATTAATACTAGATACTTCTAAGATACATATGAATGTACTTGTATGATACGCATGTATGTAAGTATTTAGTTTATTGGATACATTATATATAGATAATAGATACATCAAATTAATGAATATATTATTTTAAGAGTAATAAAATGAAATTAATCAAATTACATAACAAAGATATACATGTTGTTGTCTTTTATTATAAATATTAATGAATTTATTATTACAAAGAATAATAAATTAAATTAATTAAACATAGCTACACTCCTTGATGTAAGGGGTCTAGTTAATTAAAATTTTAAGAATAAATTATCTATATATTTTGAAAATCCTCTATCACGTCCCAAGCCTACACCCTAAACGTGACTAGCACTTGAGAACCATTTCTGATCCCCAAATGAACCCTTGGCCTGGCTACATGACATTAAACAATATGCGGAAGCTTAAATAGGTGAATAATTTAACATTTAAGAAAGTCTTAGAAATACTGTCTTTGCAAAATATTTAACATGAACCATGAGTTAAACATAACATCATGAGAAAACAATGGAAAACATCTACTCAATCTGTCTACGAAGCCTCTAACAAATGTGAGATGAATATCGGGACAAGACCTACGACACCTCCTAAAGCTACTAACTAAAATGAAATGGAGTCCCCTGAAAGCAAGGAGACCTCACCAAATGTTGTTTGAGGTGGATAATGATCTCAATGATTCGCCTGTTGATAATCCTGAATACATGTATTTGCATCATGAAATGATGCAGGTCGAATGACGTCAACACATTGAATGTACTGGTACATGAAAAGGTTAGAGTAAACAATAATCTTGCTTGAAGGACTGAAACAACATAACTGGATCAATACATGAATATGAAGTGATAAACCATTTAATCT